CGCGTATTCCCCTTGCCACGCCGCGTCGCATTATTAATGTTGATGAATTTATAGATGAGCGACATACGCTCGTGACGTATATTGAGTAATATTGCTCCGTGCATCAAGGCCGAAAACAGTGCAGTCCCTACGTTGCCCTATAATCGCGCATGCATTATGGGAAACTTTGAGGTCAGTCACCTCGGCAAAGTGTATGTGTTTCGTCGTCGCCTTTACTCGCTCGCGGCGAGTTTCGCGCGGGCTCGCATGCTCCGCTCAATAACGAATTCGCCGGTTCGTCGCGCGAATACGTGCCACTAATTGACATAATTGCCCGCAACAAATATTCGCGTGGGCCACCGGAAAAGTTTCGCCCGCTCTATTATTGGAGAACTGATGTTTTCACGTGCTCTGCACCCTTCTGTTTTCTTGTCTTCTTTGCCATGTAATGTATGTAATCATTACGGAAATATCATGGCTGTTGTTGATATATACATACATCATTAAAAAGGAGTTCGCGCTTCTAGAATAGTTCGTATATTTCTGTCCTGAGCGCGATAATCGTGCAACACGTGTCTCTCCGTCGTTTTACTCCGAATAATATCGCAAATTCTCACGAAAGTCGGGTAATAATCGAACGAAAATCTGTCCGTGCCGTTCCGATATTCCGTGAACTTTAGGCAAACCTACCGCGACGGGATATTTCCGCGATATGCGCGCTGAAACGTAATATAAGTGGCGTGCGCGGGCGGATTTCGCTCTCTGTCGTGGAACAAGGTTTTCTCTATCTCTTTCTCCCGGCCGCCCTTGTGAGTGCAATCTTATCGTGGAGCAGCGCGCTGCGCTCTCGTCGCGGCTGCAGAGGAGCGCGGAGTCAACGAACGATAAAAAAAAGCACGAAGAATAAACTCCGTTCCGCGTACCCCTCCTCGTTCCGCGCGCACTCTTCCTTTTCTCGCCACGAGGGGAGCTCTCTACTCCTCGCCATCCGCGTGTTGCAACCTCTCAGCCGTGTGTGGGCGCGAATGCAGCTCTCTTCCATCCTCTCTTTCCTTTCTCCATCCCTCTCTGTCCTCTCGTCGTCCCTCCCTCTTTCTTTCTTTCTTTCTTTTTCTCTCTCCGCTGCGCGTTCTCCTCCCCCCTCCCCTCCCGCGCCTCTCGCCGCCCCCGCGGACTCACCGTCGTTGCCGCTTCTCTTCCCTCTTTTTCTCGTGGTTTGTTTGGGGTAGGTCATGGCGAAGCCGCATACGAAAGACCGAGGGACTGGGGAAGGAAAGTAAGAGAGGAAAGAACCGTGTGCACGTTGGAGGCCCGTCGCGACGTATGCATGCGTCTTCCACCTTTCTCTGTCTGTAAACGACTCTTTGTACTAATCATGCAATTTTGACATGTTATTTGCGAATGGTAGCTGTGCTTTGATGCTGCTCGCTCGCGGAATGTACCCACACGGTTTCGATTACTCGCGGAAACGGAATGGATAGTTATTAGGGGCTGCGTATCATTATTTCAAATGTGAACATTTCGAGTCTTTCGTGAACACTACCGTCAGTATCATTTTGTTATTTTACTGATACTTTTTTATTAATTACTTTATTATAGCTGTATTTCATTTTTACGCGTCACTGTTTTTCTGACTTTATATTTTATTAAGAATACACGAAATAGTATCTTGAAGTTGTTCCCGAAGTTGTTACTTTTAGACGATGTTTTCGTAAGAAACGTTTTCCTCTTCTTCGAGAAAATTAGATTTCTGAAATAAATCTCCATCGCCATTATCACCCATCGTTCTTCCACAGATTCACCGACTTTCGCGAGCAATCGAACGCATTCGATTAGGCCGATTTCGAAGAGGCCGCGGATGCGCGCGCGTTATTGTTGTTGATCATGCGATCTGAAAATCATAGAAAATTACTGAAAAGCTAAGAAACTCCGTGACGATCCGCTTGGGACCGAATGAAAGGGGGGTGAAATGAAGGAGAGGAGGGCATCCCTCGTCTTGAGACGTCGTAATTCTGTCTTTGCCGTAACGACACCGTAACGGCTATCCGACACGGAACTTGACCCCCTTCCCTTCCCTCCCGCCTTTCGTTCTTTCAGTTTTCTTCCTCGACTTGAAACAGAACAACCTCACTCCACCTCCCTCTGCCTTTCCTCGGTAACCAGAAGGGTTACTCACTGAGAGAGAAACAATGACACGCGCGCGAGAACCGTTATTTAAATAGTACACGGGAACCTTCCGGGCATGAGGAAGAAAAAAAGGCTCGCGCTTCTCTAAGGGACGCAACGTGAGAAAGACTCTTCGAGATTTGCATGCCGGAGCGAGAAATATCTACGCTAGCAAATAGATAATGTGTGGTTTTTTGTTTTTTTTTTTGCTATCACTGGCAAGAGAAGCGAGAGGAACGTATTCATTATTTGATCGTTTTCTATCGCGTCGTGCTCGACTATTAAATCATACACTTTGTAATTATCGTTCGCTTCGTGCTCCTGCATTTTATTAATTTTCTTTGTTATATTTATTAAAATAATTAGAAACTTGTCGACCTTGTAGCAATCGAAAGTGAGAAATTAAATTTCTATGATTTTAATCTTTTTTCATTTTCTATTTTTTTAATAAAAAATTTAATTT